GAGAGGAGACCAGGATGGTGAAAGAAGACCGGTTACTCAACAGGCATGCATTAGTGGGGAATATAGCTTCCCCCCTGCCAAGAACAGGCACTGAAGCCAGAGAGATTTGGGAATGGGATGGGTATGTTTCCATCCTCTCCTATCCCCCTCCTAGTTATCTAAACTCACTTTTAATGGGTCAGTCAACTTTATTTTGAGTAATAGCTTTCTGCTGCAACTTAAAGACCCATACTTCAAAAAAAGTGAACCCAGAAAGGAAGTCAACGGTGATAAGAGAGTTGATATTTTGATATTTTCCATATGTAGCAAGAATATATATTAAAAGAAAAAAAGAACAGATCATTTCATAGAGAGTTCAGGAGGCGTCTAAAACAAACCCATCCTCCAAACACTAAAGAAAAATACTCAGCAAGAAACCAATTCAACAGTTAAATAAAAGACGTTAGTGTGCAGTGGGGGCAAAAATCCATATGAAAACCACACAGTACTATAGTATTTATTACGACTACTGCCAATAATATTCTAAAATCTGGAGCCTATCATATAAAAACTCATCCTTGCTCCTGATGACCGCCCGCCCCCCCCCCATACAACTCCCAATACTATAAGCATTTCATGGTATAGTGTATCTGTTTATGTCCTTTTCTTACACTTTTAAAGTGACAACAGTGCTGGGGTTACTTGTCACAGAGTCGCTTCTTGTACTTGATCCATGAAAAGACACTGGCACACATATACACTCCCAAAATCATACATGCAGCTATTCTTTGCACTGCCCTCAAAATATACTTGAAGCGTATTCTCTTCTCATTTTAAATCTTGAAAAATATTTGTTCATCAAATAATAAATATAAAACAAAGCCTTTCTAGAATCATAAGTATTAAAAAAAAAAAAAAGAGTACAAGCATCAGCTACTAGGATAAAACCAAAAGCTTGCCTGCTTAGAGAAATAAATAAAGAGAACCTGATAAGCAATCGAAAAGTGGGACTACAGAACACTGTGTCATGTAGAGACACCTGAGAAAGTTTAAACAACAGACTGAACGAGATACATCAAGGAATATAACCACATTAGCACAGTCCTCTAATTAGACTAGCTTGCTATGATACTCAACAGGACCACTTAGCTGAGCCAGAGTCCTGAACTGACACAACTGTGTTGTGTCCACTGTCTACAATCGCTCATTCTGCACATGATTCGGTATCACTGGACAAGATGGTATAAAAGTATAAACATATCTCAGGGTTCAAAAGAAAGATCACCGATCCTCAACTTTTTACCAGTATTTGACAGATCTAGAAAAGATTTTCTTGTTCTTCTCACATTATACACATTTGTAAACACCTTTCAAGGAAGCCTTTGTTTCCAGGTATACATTTGGAAATTACATAAAGCACTGCAGAGATGCATGAGATTTGAAAAAAAAAACCAACAACAAAGAGAGACCATTTGACCTGGACTATCATGTAATTAGATGCCTGACTGTATACTAATGGTATGGTTTGCTGCAAACTTTGGTCTAACTAGTTAAAAGGATCTAAAACAGTTTTATATACAGGGGTTTTGGGTTTTGTTTTTAAATCCCCAGGGTAATGCTTTCTAACAAAACATCAAAATGTTGAATGAATCTATTATGGCTACAGTGGTCTGTACTGTTGGAATTTGTTCTAATTATAGCCAGTTTGGGAAGTAAATTCTGATGAAGTTTTACAGACTGAGGAAAGTAAGATCCATAGACATCAAAGGACTAAATGGAGACATGGAGTAAAGTAAAGAGTAGGATAATGTCATAAAGACAGAGATATGAATGAAGTGGTAGTGGTTTTATGCAGAATATTTGCCCCTTTGATGTTCCACAGGGGGAAAAAAAACAAAACAAAACCCAACACCACAGCAAACACTGTCAAACTTCAGGCAACCAGGACTTAATAGTATTCAAGTAACTGGACAAATCTGGCAGTCACTGGAAAGACAAGGGATGGAACTACATCCTTTTACTTACGTCCCCTTTAGGCATAATGATGGAGGGAAATCATCTGTCTAAATCCCATCTTACTACCTCTTCTCTTTCATAATTTTCTGTCATAGTTACCTCTTTGGACAGTAGAACTCAGTCCTCAAAACAGCTACATCAAAAAATTCTATTATAACCTTAATTAATATCTAGGCGGGCTCATTTGGAAGAGGTGGCTTTCCTTCACATCTCTGTGAGCCCAGTGACCAAATGACCTACCGTACTGTACAAGTGACAGCACTGCTGTTTCACTCTCCTACTTCCAGCTGCTCCAGTCCCTATCCTTTGCACAGTAAGAATGAAACAGAAGCCTGAACTTTACACTTTACCATTTTTGTTGGCCTGTATTTACTTTTTTACAGTATTTTAAAATCTTTATATGTTTTTATAAAATCCCTACAACATATTTCTGAGGCTTATAATACTTGTGTTAAGTTATGGGATATTAAGTTCATGTAAAGATGTGATTCATTCCCTTTGTGTTTAAGATCATGCTGCTTATGCGACACAGCACAAAAAGATGTATCTGGGAAAGACATTAAAGTAGAAATCCATCTCATTTTCTGCCTTCATAAAGGCAGAGTCCACCCCTACCAATCCTTTCTATCCGTCCACAAGATTGTAAACTACATAGAATGTAGTAACATCAGAACTTAAATATGGGACGTGTTAAATGCTAATGTGCTATCTCTGTAACACAAGTGTCCTACGGGGAAAACTATTACATGTATTTCTGAAGGATTTTTTTTTTTTCCATTTTCTTATGCAAACCCCATAAAACGATATCCTCAGTTTCCAGAGCATCTCATTAGAGACGAACTTAGAAAGGCAGATACATCGTCCGTTGTTTGGCTGTAAAAATGTTCCATGGGCAAAATGCCCTGAATAAATGCCGCAGCACTTATAGTCCCAAGGTATTTTCATCTATTCTGTGAAGGCAGTGGTTAATACTAATAGGAATTGGCTGGATTACTGACATTTGGGAAAGCAGTGGGGGAGGTGGAAAGAAGAAATTAAATGGGTGCAACAGATATGAGGTACATATCAGGGAGGAGAGAAAATGAAAGACAACAATAGGGCATATCTATCTCAGGCTGAACTTTTTCCTGGCAAGAAGAATCAAAACAGGAACTTTCAGCCATTTAAAAGAATGAAGCTGAGGTTTTGCTGTTAAAAAATAGCATTCAAACATTTTCTAAAGAAACTTAAGTAGCACTGGGGCACAGGATCTGAAATTTGACAAGGGCTTCCTTGGTGCCAGAGAAGTCTATTTTGCTGCCCAAATTTTAACCCACACGCATTTGGATAATCAGGGAGGTCCTGAGAAATCATTTGTATAACCTTCTCGGCAATACGTCCCTCCAAATGTTCTGCCTGCACGGTGGTACTCCAGCATAGTCCTTTCAGGGGCCCAAGCAACCCTTCCTTGCAAGCTGCTCTTCTTGGCAGCTCACAATGCTGCCATGTTGCCTTGCAGATGACTGCAATAACGTCGTCTCCAAGACTTTGGAAAAAGAGTCACCATCTCTGGCAGACATAGGATTGAAACTTGGACCATGCTATCCTTTGTTAGCTTATCTGACTAACTAAAAGCTAAGCAAATTAAACACAAAGCCCAAGCGAGGATCAGAGGAACAATGATAGGTGGAGGAACCCTAGTAATATAATCAGTGGAAAAACCTAATCAGTGAAAATTAGAGCATAGTGAATTGGCTGTTTCCTAAGACCATCCAAGGGGAAGGATGAGACCATCGTGTCCTTGGTGTGAAATGCACCAAGGTGAGTCAGCGGGGAAACTCTTTCATCAGAAAACTTTGCGAACAAAAGGGGGTGATAGCCTACAGCAGTGCAGAGACTCGTTATAAGACGTAGGAAGAGCAGCATTTTGGGTCTGTGTAAAACTTACGAGGGGATTTTTGAAGGGGATCATGGGAATGTGTAAAGATTGTTAGGGAATGTTTAGTGGAAGATTGAAGATGGGGAAAGGGAGAAAACAAGGTGGATTGGAGAGGAAGAAGTGCGGGGAAAAAACAGAGGGAAAGGGGGAAGAAGGGGCTGGTTGAGTGTAAAGGTGTTGGTCAGCAGCTTGTCTGACTGAGCTCTGTGCACGAGCACCAGTCTGTCCTCGATTGTCACTAAATCTGACTTCTGACTAACTTCTGCGTGGGTGTGCTCTCTGCTCTAGATGTGTATGTATGAACACTAGAGAGCAGAAGGAGACGTATGAGTGCCAGCAGCTGGAGTGAGCCATGAACCTCGGGGGCCCGTGGACCCTGCTGTGAGCAACTGGAGCAGGGCAGCGGGACCGAGGGCTGCTCATGGAGAGACTGAGGATCTAAGGCCAACAGCAGCAGTTACCCATATATTGTGAGTGCCATACTGTACTAGCAAACTCCAATCCCGATCAGCAGGAGGGAAGGAACAGGTCTGGGCCACCTTCATGTTCATCTGGGGGCTGTGGGTGTGCAAGCGGGTGCTGGTAAAGGCAGTGCTTTCTCTCTGTGTTGACCTGTCTGTGTGCACAGGCACGTAGCATGAGCGTGCACATGCCACCTCTCACATCCTTCTCATACAGGGCGAATGCTTCAGGGAGCCACAACTTGGTGCAATACCCTTGACTGTAAGACACTAACTATATTTCATTTTAGCTGATTGTCAGGACAAATACGACTGTGAGACCTTTGTGGAGAAGTGTCCCACAGTAATTTGTGAGTGTTCCATCTACAGACATACTTCTATGTTAAAGAAGAAAGTATCAGAAACATAATTCAATGCACTAAATAACAAGCATTACCAGCGAGGATACTGCTTCTCTGATTAGACAAGCCACAGATTGTTCTCTCCAGCTTTTGTGATTTTAAGCCAAGTCAAGCCCCTTTCCAAGTACATTAGACAGCTTTGCTGCGACATTCTTCTTGTTTTAAATCCAACGCTGATGCAGCACGCTTTCATTAAAAAAAAAAAAAAAAAAAAAAGCATCTTACCTCCAAGCTGTAGAGAAATTTGAAACTGTTTTTCTGATTGGCTGCTTTTTCCACAGCTTGAGCTAATTTTACTGCTCCTCTACCACCAGCTGACCAGTGATCACAGGGTACCGCATCAAATGCTCCAGATTGCTTTGCAATCTTACACACCAGATCAACCTCAGCAGGAGAGTCAGTTCTGCCAACCAAACAGTTCCGTCTCATTATTTTGTTTAATTAGTTCTCTTTTATAACCTTATATACTTAGCCTTATTCTACCATCAGCAGTTGTAAAGCAAGTCTATATAGAAATTGTGCCATATACATAATGCACTAATATACAGCATATGTATTTACATGTTTCAAGAAGGCTTTTAGTAATTGTTACAGCTAATTAACATGGAAGATTAGTATTTTCATAACAGTATATACTTTTTTGGTGGATTTAAAACCTTAAGAACAAGCTAAGGATTTAAAGGTCTTTATATTTGAAAAAAGGCAATTCTTTAATAGCTTCTTTTCTTCATGCCAAAACTGATTAATTTAAAAACGAAGAAAAGTGTGAAATTTGAACTGTGGATTTCCTCACAAGTGTAATGACAGAATAGACTTACTTGAAGACATTTAGAGCAACCACAACAGGAACGCCAAAGAGCTGAGTAATTTGAATCTGTTTCTGTAGATTACAGCAGCCATCAGCTACCAGCTGGAGGTTCTGTGCAATTAAATAAAAAATAATGGAAGTGGTAAGACACATCGAGTCTTCACCAGCCAAAAATTTTTCCATAAATGAAACTGAACATAAACAGTACTGATCATGACAGCTGCAAACAAGTAAAATGCTTCCAGAGAAAAATATTTTGGCACTTATTTTACTAATTCTTATTTCAATTAATAAGCATCAGACATGTTTAAGTAACTAAGCAGTGTCCAAAATTTGTACATGAACGTATTGCTCTTTTCTAGGACACAACATGACAGTGCAGCTGATGACTGGTTGCCTGTCATAACTGTGAAAGGGCGGTTAGTCTCTTGTTTGCAAAGTTTATAAACAAACTACAGTAGTGGGGTGGGGTTTGACATACAGATGTGTTAGATGCATAGTCTAATCTATATATACGTACATATCCCAGATAAAAGAACATTACTGGATTTCCTTATTTACTCTTTTACCTCACGCTTTGTAAGCCTTGTCTTAATTGCAACAACACACATACCCTTAGCCTGATAAAACCAAAAGACCAGAATTTGTCTACAGCAAAGAGACAAAGAAAACAAACCTGTAGAATCCACTCGTATTTGAAAAGTGACATCCAACACTGTGAAGCACAAACAGCTTAAACCTGTTGTTTAATGAACAGGTTAAGCTGTCATTAATTTCACGGAGTGTCTTTGACCCCTGCACCACTCTGCTCTTGTGCTGCCATAAATGCCTGTATGATGGCCTGGAATGAAGAGCTGGTCAGTCTAAAAACTTAGTGGTCCCAGAAAAACTACTGAAAAAAAGTTATTTTTCAGTTAGCTCAATTCCCCAGTACGATCTACCACGCAGTCACACCCATAGCACACACAAGAGGGATAACAGCAAGTGGCTGGGGGAAGATGAGATGGCTTTACTCGTTGGTAATGCCTGTTAAAGGCGTTCACTGAACGTCAGCATTAGAGCATGCTGTTGTTAAACCTGACGCTGCACACTACCCAGCCAGAGGAACGAGAAGTTCTGATTCTCCATATACCACATTATTTTATCCCTTTAAACAAAAACTTGTCCTGAAGTTTTATAACGGTTCCTCTTACCTCTTCTGTGTATTCTTTCTTCAAGGGGGCACCAGCAGTTACCTGGAATAAACAACAACTGAAGTCACCACAGATTGACGCTTGTCATAATCCTTAATGGTCAGACGCGCACTTTTGCTTACTTTCTATACTGCCAGTCAGCCCACACATTGCACACAACATCATAGCTTGACTGTAGCTTCTGGTTTATTCCAAGTTACAACAGTACATGGAGAATAACAACACTGCCTGTTGTATTTGGGTAGCAAGATACAGGCAGTGACTCGGCAACTAGTTGTAAAAGACTTATTTGAGAGGTATTAATTGGATCCCATTCTGCATGTTCAAAAATGCACCAGCAGTGCAAAGGCAACAGACAGCAACCTCCAACAGCTGGCTGAAGGAATAAACAGTAACCTCCCAGTAAAAGTATCTGGTACTCTACGTGTCTCTATGGTGCATTATGTAAACAAATGAAAGCTTTATAATTCTAAAGACACAGATCAGACAGAAATAGAGACAGTTATTAAGACATATTTAAATCCTATCTTTGCTAGATTGAATGATAACACACATGACAATACACCTGCCATGATACGCATGGAGGAATAGCATCAAAATAAAGAAAACTTGCATTAGAGGTGGACTAAAATTACAGAAAGTTATATAAATTATGTCAACCTGGAAGACTGAAAAAGGACAGCCCAGCTTTAGTTCTAAGAGATGATAGGCTGTAAGGGAGACTGTGCATTCCAAAATTTTGTGGCTGTGGAAACAGCTCTAGTATTTTCACCCAGTGAGACTGTTTCCCTGGCAGCATCATTCACTTCCATGCTGCTGGGCAGATGAAAGTGTTTCTAGGAGTAAAGTGTCTGTCTGCTTGGCTAGCAGAGTCCAATCTGATTGTATGACTGAGGAGTACTTCTACAATCGGTAATCTGTACAAGCCTCTTAGTGGCTTAAATAGCAAAAAAAATGATACGCTGGTGACTTTTGGTACACTGGGAAAACAGTTGTACAATTTTATCAGTTACCTTAGCATCCCTGAGGGAATTAACCCGAGCAGATTAAAACGACAGAAGGGGTTCTCATTATTGTAGTGAAAAATCTCAAAACCTTCACTAATAACGTTCCTTACTTCCACTCACACACTGCAATGTGAACTCTTCTCATTCTTCCTCAGCTGCAAACTTTCCCAGCCTGTGACTACTTCAGTGCACTTATAATCACTATTTCAAAAGGCAGGGAAAAGAATATCTATATATATTATAGCTCTTTTTTTTTTTTTCATGCAAACAAACTTCCCTCCCTCAGCAAGATTTCGTACTTCTTCAGAGCTCTTTCATCCCTCTTCTTTCATTTATGCCTCTCCATTCCTGCATTACCTTTGGAGGCAACAGCTACATAATGAGGTAGCTCAGGAGGGATATCTAAACACTGCTCCATAAGCTACCCCAATATTTATTACACCAAGATATTTTACTTATTTCAAATATTAGCAACAATTTTATTTTCTAGGAAAGGTGCAAAATCTTACATTTGGCCCACCTCCATGCATCTTCAAAGCCCTCACTGTAGCAACAAGTACAACCACACTGGGAACCAAGCCAGAGGCTCTGCATTTGATGTTGAAGAATTTCTCCATCCCAATGTCAGCACCAAAGCCAGCTTCAGTTACTGTTAAACATTAAAAAAACAAAACAAAACCACACATAAAACATGCTTTCGGTTAAACACTGGGGGATATTTCTACTTTAGCATACAGTGCACTTAAATATACACCAGTACTCAGTTTTGAATGAACTTTGAAATAGAGGTCTATTTACATTACTGAGTCTGATTAAAAAACTATTCCCGACTCAGAAATAAATTATTTTATTCTTGATATGTACAATATGTCATCAAAAGTAGTCACATGGAAAAAAAACCACCCCAAGCAGTCCAAATTAGTTGGAATCAAAGTATTTTAAAAACATCTAGTCCTCTATAATAGCTATTTCTTTGTAATTATATATATGTAAAACGTTTAAAATTCTTACAGATCTAAGACTTCCCTACAATATTCCTCTTCCCTTTTATTTCACTGAAGATGTGCTTTCAACATAATTAATGGACCTAAATTTTCCTAGGTTTGCAGAACTCCTGGTCATCTCTTGCTTTTATGAAGCAGATGTTTAATTATAAACACAAACCAGCATTTACAGTCATGTCTCAGTGTTGAAGATAGTGTAAACAGTGAATTCTGAAAGGGAACTTAGCACCAAAGAAGTCAGACATTAATGTAACATGACTCAGGAAGAAAATCTGTGCAGAATTAGGATATGCCAGGAAAAGTATTTTTAGCAGAGCTACAAATAAAAGAGAAGATAGATAGACTGTATTAAATGATGTCAGTCTCCTCAGAGCTAGTTTGCTCTGATTTGTCAAATATCAATTATTTCAATTGCCTCTTTTAAAATCCAAATAATTTCTTTTTTATTAGTCAAACACAAGCACACAGCAATTCAAAGATTCAAGGGTTGGTTGAAAATTTGCCAACGTAGCTATTTCCCACCAGAACACACTGGAGAGTTGGGATCAATGTGTGCCTCTGGAAGACGGGAAGGGACAAGCCAGGGTGGGAGAACAGCTTGCTCCAGAGGCTCCACGACCTGACTCCAAGCAGGGCTGGTAACGCGTCCCCATAACCCCAATCAGCTTGCAAAAAACTTGCCAGCAGTTTTGACCCGCATGCTTACAAGGGGACCACAAACAGCTGATTGAACGTTTCAGGGCTGGAAACCTTCAGCAGGGTCAAGGAGGAAGAGGTGCAGATCTGCTCTGCCGCCGTGGGAGAAAGTGTCTTTCTGTTGGCAGCTGATGCACTTTAGGAAGTCCCATCCTTTGTGCATTTGTCCTCCCCCCACCCGTCCTTTTCCACCCCTTCGTTTTACACAGGCTGAAACAATTGCCTGTGTGGCTCTGCTCAGAGGGAGGAAATGGCTGCTGGGGCTGGGGGAAGAAGTGAGAGCTAGCAAAAAAGGGGGTGGGCACGGCCGGGGGGAGCACAGACCTCTTGAAATAGTAACAGGGCAAGTGTCATGATTAACGTTCTCCAAAATCATTGTAATAAGTATATTATCTTTTTCTCAAGAGCCCTGAGAAAAACAGACATACCAAACATGGAAACAAAAAACCCACACACACCCCTCCCCAAAGAAGAGGTTTACACAAACACAATAATTCACAGGAACAAAGCTAATGTTAGGATAAGTCATATTAAAAGCAGAGCTGGGGATCACACGCCTACTTTCCAGTAAGCCCTATTCTTCTTCTCCAGTCTCTTATGTGGCACAGTGTGATTAATGAGAACTCTGAGTCAGGAATATATAACCACGATCAATCTTTAATATAAACAACAGATAAACTACCAAGTACTTGAGAGGGTGGGAAAATAATTTGTCTCTTATGGAGATTGCCAGCGTATACGCATAGCAGTCTCCTAACATTTCCAAACAAAGTTTCCAGGGAGTTAATCCTCTTCGTGCCAAGCCTTTTCATGGGTCAGTTTTCCTTAGAGAAAAGGGGATTGCAAGTCTACCTTTCAGTGAGAGAAAAGTAGAGACTTCAGCCTCCCAGCAAGCACAGTAACAGCACGCACAGCACTTCAGGGCTCTCCGGGAGGTGCTTGACACCCTTCAGGCAGTCTGAGCAGCCAGGGCAAACACCCAAGAAAGCTGTGCAGGGACACTTATCTGGGTAGCCGTGCATATTCTTCTATTCTTTGTAATGATCTCCTTTGATATGGAGGGCAAAACGCGCATTTGCCTAAACAACCCAAATCCTATATCGACATTTGGAAAGCTAACAGAACACCAGTGTTCACGGAGAATGAGCGCTGCAACACGGAGAATGGGATTTCTTCATTTGAAGGAGAGGAAAGTCAGAGGAATTTCGGTGCTTTCTCCAGTGTGCGGAAGGAAACAGGATGTAGTAGAAAAGCTGCCTGGATGAAAGTTTCCAACTCCCTTTTATTTCGTCTGTGGAATAGTGAGGAGATAGAGTAATATGCCAATCTATTATATTTAAAAATCTTTGTGCTGAAACACTTAATACAATTACTTTCAGATTGTTTCCTGCTTTCAAATGAAAGCGTCAATGAAAAACAAATACAGACTTTAAATGGGAAGTTTCGACCTAGTCTACATTCAGAGATTATGAGATAAACCAGCTAATCACTTTAAATGTAGCAACAGAAATATAAAGGATTACGTAGGTTCATTTATTTTGGTTATCATTTCTAGTATGTGGTTTGTCAACAGAAAGTAATTACAGATTACATGTGAACTGACGAAGATTTTGGGAACAAGCATCTACCTCAGCAGATGCGGCCTGCTGTACCTCAACTGAAGGAAAGTTGATGATGCAACCACTTCTACCTGCAACCACTTCTACCTGCCTACACAGAGTCTTCACCCAGCTTCAGCTCCCCTCCCCGAAAACCTCTTCATCCTGTCCCATTGCCAGGCGGCCATTTCCCAGCCCCCTGAATCCTGCTACTGCTACCTGGGCTGCTGCCCTGCAAGCAGGTAGGGCGTTTGTAAGACACGTGATGATGCTGGCGTGATGTTAATAGCTTGGCTTTGATTTCCCAGCCACAAACACAGCGCTTCTAATGAAAGTAAAGAGGTAAACGATTTGCCTTCAGCAAGCTCATAGAAAACATACAGGTATTTGCACTTCCAGCCTGAGAACACAACCCCATATGCCAACCCAGATCAGGGATTTTAGAGCCCCAGGCCTTGCTTCGCAGTCTGGGTCCCCTTCGTGCACTGACAAGACTGGACAACGACCTAGACAAATACTAACAGATTATTTTCTGGGTGTAATTTTCAGTGAGTACAGCTCTCTGGACTCTCACCACATGGTCACACAAAGTATGAAACCTAATTCTACAAATACTCTGTTGTTTGATTTTATGCTTCAATTTTATAGCCCAAGTATCATAAGGAACATTAGAATGAAGATAAAAAATTAAAATTTCATATACCAGAAGTGCCCTTACATTACATTACTTTTAATAGTGGGTCATAGGTCAAATCTAGCAATTAATATACACATATATCAGAAGTAAACGGCATCAAAATAGTCCAATAAGTTCAAATAATTTCTTCTCATAAAAGATCCATGTGAGGGTGACCAAAAGCAAGGCTCATTCTAACACATCAGGGTAACTGGGGCATCTTGTTTTAAAACAACAGTAGGCAAAACACAACACACCATTACTATAGGTCTTTCTACAGGTCATTTACATCACATCTATTTCACTCAGTTCAGCTACCAAAATAACAACAAACCATGGTTTCCATTCAGAGCAAGAACCCAAAATATCCAAATCAGGTACAAAAGGGGAAGGAAAAGCTCATAAATGGAATTAGGCAATAGTGATAACTCTGTTGGGTGGTGTAAAGTCAGGACAATTGATACTCTTCACTGAAGTCTCTAATTCCACTTCAGCGTTCAGGCAAATGAACAAATCCCTCTGATGGTTTTGTTTTTTGTTTATAATTACCGTAACCTCTTCATGGAATTACTGCCTTGCCAAGCACATCTGGGAATATTTTATCACCTATGCATGACAACCGCTTTAATAGTCAGTGTCACGGTTTAAGCAGCTAACCAGATTTCATCATCATACTTAATACAAAATCTAATTTTTCTCCACCTAAAAATACATCTATCATGCTATAGTTGCAGAAAGTGGTTCCACATTAGCTTCACGTTTACATACTAGTTAAAACCCTTACAGAAAGTGATGTTTAGAATTTTTTATAAAAGATACTTCACCCACAATTGAACTTAATGTAAACTGAGGGTAATTTCTAGTGAAAGTAGCTTCTCCCCACTCAGCCCTTTCTATCAACAAATCAACGTCAAAATAAAACATTTGTACTATAAAGGGCCAAGTCAGATGCATACACATGAGGCAAAGCTTTAGGACACAAATTGTGAGCCTGAATTCCTGAACAATGTAAAAGGAAATGGAAACTCTGAGCTGCTAGCTGCCATTTACTCCCCACATGTAAACATATCTGTTCTGGTGCAGCTGTCTGCTGGTAAACTCAGGAAAAGAAGAGTTCAAAGTCACAGAAGCACATGAACTGTGAACCTGGAGCTGGAGGCATGCTAGCTGTAAAGTACTGATACGTTCTTGTTTAAGTGAAAAATACCAAGGTGCACAACCGCCAAGATAAACTGGGACGATCAGTGATTTATCTAACAGGATATCATATTTTTTTGTTAGTATAGCTAGGGATGAATAAACCAGATGTTTGTGCATTCTGACTCTAGCAATTTATCTGATGTGAACTTCCATTATTATAACTGATTTTGGAATGTAACAGATACTTTTTTTTCTTTTTCTTTCTTTCTTTTTTTTTCCTCTCTCCTAACAGAGGGAGTTTTCCTGTTCATTTTTTTTTCTGATGCATTCTCAGATGGCATGAAACACAGGCACTCACTGGTACCACCAATGCACACAAAGTCCAGCAGAAAACTACACGTGCATATATTAAGGCTGAACATATTTCATGCCATGAAGAAAATAGTTTGCATCAGCTATCAAAGTTTTTACGTTCTCATTGGAGGTAACAGCTACTTTTCACTCTTTGCTAAAGAAAGATGCCAGGGCAGTATGG